AGAACAAACTGGGGAGGAGGGTAGAGAGAATGGTGCAGCAATGAAGGAATGAAAACCCAAAATCCCTGTAAATGTTCATTAAAACTCATAAAATTTAATAATAAAAAAATAGGTATGCACAGAATAAATAACAATAAGCTTTATATGCTTCTGAAAATAAGACTCTTAGAAAAGAATAAATTTCTACAATTTAAAAAATTCTTAATAAAAGCCTCTGTATTACAGGAAAACCCCCTCTATTCCTGTATATGAAACCAAGCACTTAAATACTTCTACGGTTTTATGATTATTTACCAAATCATTAGAAAGCTACTTGTTCTGATTACTCAGTTTCTGAACTATAACTGATGAAAATAGAATTAAGGAGAACTTGTTGCCATGCAGCATAATGAAACTGAAAAGCTACAGGAGGAACTTTGCAGCATCACAATACAATATCCTGCGATCTACTGGGGATACATGGCAAGGGTATGGAGAACAATTAACAGCATACAAGCAGCTTTTGTGGCATTCTTTTAGTTGACTGAAGTCTCACATTCTATCTAAGTATATTCTAGTAAAGTGGGGAGAAACTCCACCCAAAATTTTGCTGAGTACTTTCTTGTTGACTTATAGTGTAATGAAAGGTCAGGATTCCTTGGGTGCTAAGAAGCAATGCAGTGGCTTGTTCATTTTAGTTGCATTAAGACTCCTTCCAATACGACTTTAATGTAGTAAAAACATGTAAAAAGGAATATGACGAAAAAAAGATACTCATGTGAGTAATTTTTTTTTACTTATTTAAAGAATTTTCCTTTTTAAAAAAATTAAAGGTACTTACTTTTAAAAGCACGGATTATCATTAAGGTTTCCTTCGTAATTTTCTTTCTGAGTTCAAATTATCTCTGGTACAAAGTAGTTTAAAGCAAAAATGCTTTCTCGCTTTAAAGAGCTTAATTACACATTCATCTAAATAAAGCTACTGTGTTTCATTACACAGAGTCTAACTATTCAACTATTAGCCCAATGACAAATCTGTTTAGTCATTTTACAATAAACATTTGCCATTCTCATGGAAGTGCTTTCTCCAGCTTCAAATAACGAAAAAAGACGAAAGAAGAAAAATCTACTCATCCTAGTATAAATGAGATGCTGTGCAAGCTTTTTTTAGTAAAATCTGAGCTATGCTGCTTTTATAAATGGGACAAGAATACAAAATACTCTACTTTACTGCTTTTAATTTTTTTTTTATGTGCGTGTACCGTCAAATCAGATCTGACTGGTACAGGAGGAGATTGCCCCTCCTTCCCCGGCAGAGCATCTGGTGGATTCGAACCGTGCACCTCTGGGACTGTAGTTGCAGCTTCTTGCCACTAGGCCACCAGAGCTCCCCTACTGCTTTTAATTTTAAAAAACTACAAAAAAAACCCCAGATTACTATAAATGAAAATGTCCTCAGGTTAGTTGTTGCAGCATTTAAAAAAACCTGAATAGTCTATGTGCATTGTTAGCCTCCTTTCTCAAATTATGGTTCTTTAATGGAAAAGTAGCAACATCAATTGATAGCAAACATTGAGATAAAGACAAAATTAGCTGCTCTAAAATGTAGATAGTTGGCTCATATATCTAAAATTGTTATTGTGGACTAAGGCCTTTCTTATTTGTCAGTTTTAAATGACTAACTTTGACACATAAACAAGGCTGGTGGCGGAAGAAAACATTATTTAGGGTAGAGTAAGAGCCTTTAAAGGAAAAAAAACACAACCAAAAAAGCCCAAAAAACCTTCAAGACAGCCTAGTGACAGCTTGTCAAGACTATATCCAGGGAACTTCCTCCACTGTCAACCTACCATCAGTGTCTGCACTAAGAGGTCTGATGTTGTCCAGATGTTGGAATTTTCTGTCAAATGTTTTTAAAGAGGCACATGCGAGGAAACAGAGTGTGAGCTGGCTAATAATATTACTAAAGGTTGTCAAAATTATTTGGTTGGTGTCTTTCTACATTTTACTATTATTCTTTTGTGCATTACATCTGTTTAAGAGCTAAATAAAAAGCTTTCCAGACTTTCAAGCTGTTATCAAAAGTTCAACAAGACAGAATCTTACCCCACTCACCTTCCATGATTCACCTACCTGCAGCATGCCTTGGCCATTTCCTTCTATAGTACCTTCATAAGTGACATGTAACCGTGTCAAAGGCTTTTCATATCTACAATTTAAAACACTTTATTTGTTTAATAAAGATTTGTGTGTGTATGCAAATTTAAATAAAAACAGAATGATAAATGGCTTTGAAATAAGATTCCTTTATATTATAAACAGTCTCTTTTTTAAAAAAAACTTCTCAAAACAAAAAAAGTTAAGGTCTATAAATTTAAGAAAAATTGCAAAATGATCTTGCAATATATCATACCTAACTCTGAGAGAGGCTTTCCTTTTAAAAGTTTGGTAAATATATACATAATACATGTCCTAAAAATTCTGACCTATGTTAAGTTGACAGATACATCTGTACCTGCAGTAAAGACACTAAGAAGGTGGTACAGTGATTTTCTTTCCTCTTTATAAACCTCTAGTCATTAAGAGAGTTCTAGTTTCAGTAATAAAAGAGCTGTGCTACCAACCCAAATGCAAGTGGTTTGCTTCCACCATTTGCTCCACAGGAGAAAGATGGGCAATCAATCACCTCCTGAGTGACTTATGGCATCTGAAAACCCTCTAAAAGGTCCGTCCCAGTATAAGTCAGGTATAAGATGGTATACAACAATGAACAATAACATGGTCTTTAAGGTGTTAATTGACTTATGTTTATATTAAAAAGACCCAATTCCATTAATCACATTTTCTCTTTTTAGGCTTTTTCCACCCCTGCTTACTTACTGAATAAAAAGTATAAATTATAATTGAATGCAATAGATCAGAACTAAGAAAACTTACAGAAATTAAAACAGGAATTTTTTAGGGGGATTACATTTTAAAAGCAATTTAAGAAGTTAGATGCTGGGGGAGAGAGAGATTAGGAAGACAGTCTTTTAATAAGAGGAAGTATTAGATAATAATACAGAGTTAACTATGGTATACACAGAGGTAAAAACTGAATTCCCTGTGACTGAAGCCATCATGTTTCTGTCACAAATATTAAAAGAAGCAACTGATGCTCAGTCGGAAGCCTTAGTGATGTAGTCTGTCTTTCACTGTACTACTAATAATTCAAAGGCTGCACTTCTCTGGTGGTTTGAACCACCAGCAGCTCTTCAAGAACGATGAAAAGCTTTCTTTGGTGCTACAGCTTTGGAAAAGAAGGGAGAGCTGTTATGAGTCAGAACTAATCCACTGGCAGTGAGTGGTTATTTTTGGTAGGCAGCCAGACCAGATGACTTCCTGCAGGCCCTTTCTCTCCAGCATGCCATGAGTGCAAAATGCTATGCACATTTCCTTCCTTTTTTGGCTCATTTCCCCCCTTTGGTTGCTTAATGTTTTATCCAGTTCCCTCACATGTCAGACATGCCTTCAGCCTTTTGAACTAAGTTTTTCTTTCACTTCACAAATTCTTTGAAAAATTAATCTCCCTTAAGAAAACTACGGATTCATTCACTCATTGCTGTCAAATTGGTTCCATTCCAACTCATAACAACCCTATACCAGGATTTCAAGGCTGTAAATCTTTAGGTGAGGAGTCTGCCCATTTTCTTCCTTCTGAAAATTTGGTGACTTTGAACTGTGGCATTCAGCCTGATACACTAGACACATAACCAGGAAGTTAATTTTACTTATTTTCTTAATTATTAATTCCAAACAGAATTATTAAAAACTATGACAAACATTAGAAAGTGAAATGGAGAGGAACTGTATAACATGAATACACATCTGAATATGCATGTCCTTACATATTTGTAAAGGCTGGTTTGCAATTTAAGAGCATAATGAACTAGTTCTAGATTAAGACACATGTTAATTACTTCAGGGCACTAGGGATCTTACATGGAATGCTGGTGACACAGGGCCTTTTGGGTTGTGCTACTAATACAAGATCAGCCATTCAAATCCACCGGCTGCCCCGAGGGTTTGAAAAATAGTCACTCTCATCCCATAAACACCTGCGACCTTGGAAGCCATAAAAGGGGACTGATTTTGAGCTGGAACAATGGCAGTAGGTTTTTGGTTTAAGGATTTTAAAATCTAAATTATACCAGATTACAATCCTATTTATATAATTTTAGTTTACTTTTTAAAAATTTCCTAGAAACTGTTATCTAGAAAGAAAAACATAAAATATAAACACTAACAACAAAAAGATGAATATTTAAATAATGATGCTTCTCTTAATAGTAGTTACTTTCACACACTACTCAGTTTTATTTTAAGAAGCACCTTTTTGTTTAGGAAGTACCTTTCTAACCATGATTTGAATGAACTCCCAGGCACCAGAGCAGTTAGAGATGAAGAACATATATTCTGAGGGTACAAAAACAGAACTGCAATATTATAAGCTCTTCCAAATCTAAGACTTTAGGATTATTTTTATGATTATTACCTTTCCCACTCGGGAAAATCTTCTAGACTTTGTCTTGTAAATGTCACCAACCCAGTAGGTTCTACAAAAGTAATAAAGAAAAGCACAAAATAAGCTTTAATTTAAAAAGTGTCAGTCATATACATATATATACTTTCAGTAAAAGAGTAGGTGTAAAATTAGTTAAGAAATGCCAAGCTTAGTACTAGAATACAACAGTTGATCGATTTAGAATAATATATCTACACATTAGGACCGCTCTTCTATACATAGTGAGCCATGGTTAAACAAAATGATAACAACCAACAACAAAGAAACCTCAAACAAATAAAAACAGGCATCACAATGGAATCTGAATGCCAGAACTCTTTGGTGGAATTTTCTACATTAATTCACTTTAAAAAAACAAACACACCACAACACCTTAAAAAAAGTAGATAATGAGTGTGCTGTTGTTAGTACTATCTAGCGGGAACTGACGCACCGCTGACCCTACAGTGGGTTTCATCAGGATTGGAGGAAGACTCATCAACAACCTGGGTTATGCAGATGATACAATCTTGCTTACTAAAACTGAAAAGAACCTGAAGCACTTGTTGCAGAAAGTCATGGACTGCAGCCTTCAATATGGAAGTTCAACATCAAGTAAACAAAGATTCTCACTACTTGGCCAATTGGCAGCATTATGATAGACAGTGAAGAGACTGAGATTGTTAAAAGCTTTAGTCTATTTGGCTCCACAATCAGCACTCTTGGTACCAGCAACCAGGAAATAAAAAGACGAATTGCACTGTGAAAGTTTGCTGTCCAGGAAATCTCCAGACTACTGAAAAGTAAAGATGTCAGACTAAGGTGCATCTGATCCAGGTCATGGTTTCCAGACATGCCATGCGTCAGAAAGCTGGACAATGACTAGGGTTGACAGAAGGAGAATTGATGCCTTTGAGCTGTTGTGCTGGAGAAGAGTACTGAATCTACCATGGACTGCTAGGGGAACAGAGTCGTCCTAAAGAGGATGAAACCAGGCCACTCGCTGGAGGCAAGGATTCTGAAACTCCGTCTGACATTTGGGCATGTTGCAAGGACGGGGCGTTATGCGTGGGAGAGTGAAGGGCGACCCTTGATGGATTGACTCAGTGACTGGGGTAATGGGGGGTAGGAGTGTCAAGAGTTGGCTCAGGATAGAGCAGGGTTCAGAGCTATTGTACATAGGGTCACTACAAGTCGCAGGTGACTCAAAGGCACATAACGACCACAACCACAACAGGAAGAGGACAGGCCCCTTTTCTCTCATGAAGCAGCTGATGGATTTGAACTCTATCTTTACTTGGTTTAAGAGGTATAATTTATAAATTTAAGACAAAATTTAATTCTAACCTGTAGGTACTTTTCAAAGAAAACCTTAACCTTGCACTCAAAGACTAGAAGACTAAAAGATATATTTAAGTGACTTAAATGAAAAGAAAATGGTTATGATTGAAAAAAAAAACCACACACCAAAAAACACTAAACCACTGTCATGTTCTCTAGAGTGAACACAACTAAATCTTGGGTTTACGTGATGAACAACTGCTCTATTTATAGAGTGATATATAAGGTGAAAGGAGGAATTGCTAGGCTCTAGGAGTTTAGAGAAGGCAGGATACATCTTTCAAGAAGCAACAGATTTGAGAGGATCAAAATAAATACTATTGACAAAGTAAACAATTTTAAAGCATAAGAAAAGCTATTTATTTTAATAGTTAACTTTCTTTTGCCAATGGAAAAAACAACAAATGAATCAGCCAGCCAGAAGCAATTTGTTTGATTCAAATCAAAGAGCAAACTAAAAAGGCTAAGACATATCTGTTTAAGGAGGGAATAAAAAGCTCTTAAGCAAAGAGATGTGTCAGGAACGATTAGTGATAATGCTTTTAGTTTCAATGAAAGCCTGACTATTACTTCATTCCTAAGGATGAGTCCCATTTCTTTGCTCTTAGTCACAAACAGTAACAAATCAAAACTCCTAAGGGTTGGAATTCTGGGAAAGCAACAAGGAACACAAGACAATATTCCACTTCTGCTGAACTGAGAAAATGAATAAGAAAACGAGAGAAGTAACCAGGTCTTCCACTGCCTGTCCTTCCCTAAAAACATAGGCCACCTACTGCCTGCTAGAAACTAAGGAAGTGGCCAAGAAAATGAGTATGTTACCAAACCCAAGAGTCTATAAGCCTTGTGGGTACAAAAAGACTCCATGCTTTTGTTTTAAAATCAACAAGGTCGACCTCCTCAAAGGCCAACTGCAATATGCCAGCACTTCTGCACAGGAGCACTGCTGTTGCAAGTCTACTGTGACTGCTGCAAAAGGTCCCCTGCAATGTAGTCTGCTATCACAGCCAACATTTGGAATGCTTCTTTGTGCACCCCATAGCTCAGGCCAACAAGATAGACTTCCTAGGAAGACAATTCAAGTCTGTCTGTATCCTGCTCTGATGAGTGCTAATGATAACAGACAGAAGCTGCATGTGCTAGGAAACAGCTACACCCATAGCCAAAATATTAAAGATGATAATCGGAAGACACTAAGACAACAGACCTCTCCAGGAGTCCATTTGGAGTATGTCAGCTTCTTGTCTATTTGTAACTTGCTGACTGTAAGTCTGCTGTTAATTGTTCACAAAAGACCTAAGCACTGAAGTCTGCTCCCCTAGTCAGTACTTTACCCTGCCTTCCCCATACAAGTTAACACCTCTGGAAGTAACAGCACAAACCTCCTCATGGATCGATTAGTGCTAGTCTGACCCACTTTCAGCTGATGCAAGAAGACTGGGTACTGTGTGTTAGCAAGAAGTTTGCAGTGGAGGCTGCATTCAATGTCAACAATCTACCAGGGGAGAGAATTAAATTCTGATAAGAATAAGGCAGACCTCTATGGGGATCCAGCTATAACATTATGCTTCCTCCCCCAAATGGTGACTGTTGGCTGACAATTTGCTTTAAACTGTCACAGAAGGTCCCAATAGTGGAGTATACTGTCATAAACACCACTACTGGGCAATATACCTGCATTCTTGTGCACCCTATAGCTCAGGCCTCTGAAACCACCATGGGAGATCTCCCTGAGGATCAGTGTAGGTATCTATTTCCCTTTCCCAGTAGGTGCTGAGTACTACTGACTGAGGCTATTGTGTGCCAGAAACTAACCATCCTGACAAGAGGGGGACCCCACAGTCATTATACTATATGAAAAGCTTTGACAACAACAAAACAGGTATCTGTGTGAACATATTTGGAGTGGACCACTCCCTACTCCAACTGGTAAGTACTGGCTGCTGTACTGATACAAACTCCTAAGGAAAGGTCCTTACAATGGAGAGGTGAAGACTGTTTCCTCAATCACCAGAGGAGTTGCTATGGTTCTAAAACTGACAACACAGATCTCTGCAAGATCCTTTTGATAAGTTCCAGCCCATACTCTGACATAAGCAACCTCTACAAGGCAGTGAAGAAATTCTTGTGCAAAACGAAAGGTCAACAGGCTGCTATGAAGCGGGCTCACGGGGTGTGAGCTTGCCAATTAAAACTACAGCAAAAAAAAGAAGAGGAATGGGACTAAGAGGCACAGTCAGGACTGTGCTCCTGAGAACAGACTGACTAGTGCATGATTTCTCACATGACTAGCAGTGCCAACTACTGGACAGACTGAACACACTTTTTAATTCTAAGCTTATTTATAATTACAATCCAGAAGACCAGAGTGGAAAGACCTAATTTCACTTGACTAGGATTGACCCATCCTACTTAGCAAAGGAAATTTCTGAAATATTTTGATTTCCTCTATAATCAATTTACAGGAAAAGTCAGTTTTAATAATAGTTGAAATTTATTAAGTATATAATGTCTTAATAAATGTGGCTACCCTATGAAATAATTATCATTATTCTATTTTACATATGAAAACTGAGGCTTAGAGAGGTTAAAAATATGTTCATGAAAGTGATACTAACAATCTACTATCACCTGCTGATAATGATATTTATCACTACTGTCTCAATTGCTGGGGTTAGGCTACAACAGTCAAAGTTTAACAGAGAAAGAGAGACATGCACAAGATCTTTACAAAGGTCTCAGAGAGTGAAGAGACAAGTAAGAAGGTAATGAATAGTTATTAATGCTTCTTTAAATAAAGCCACTCCAAATGTATTTACTGATCATATCTTTTAACAGCATTAAATTAGCTTTTATTAATAAAAATTCTTACATGTATATTATACTGGTTAGACTTTCGTGTACACTGAAATACACATTCTGGTGCATATACCTAACATAAATGTATGTTTTATCACTATTCCAACATAGACTGGGCTGAAGGTATATTTTGAACATACAACACTCCTGACATTCACTTGATATGAATCATTCCTGTTAGTGGGAAAAATTATAGTAAGAATAGGAATTTACTTTTTTCTGTGACTCTTCTAAAGTAGCAGAGGAGTGTTTTAAGCTTCTCTGGTTTCCTTGATGAATGTCCTTCAAACAACCTAAAAAAGATCAAGAACAAACAAATGTAGATGACTCAGAAAGCCTTGATTAACACACACACAAACCTTAAATCTGTATTTACATCAAGGAACAAAATAGTTTCCCTAGAAGATAGCTAAGTAATGACACAAAATAGCTTGGATTCAAAAGGTTCCTGGAGAGATCTAAACCAATCTCATATAGATTTCTTCAAAGCTGCTCAAATCAGATGGCTGTCTACAACAACAATGCTTCTCTACTACAACTTATCGAGGAAAAACATAATATGGTTCCTTGGAGTCAATCAGCAAATGCATGTAAACAAGTCAGCAAGCAAATGCATGGCTTCTTCCCAAAAGAAAATATATTTCTAATTCATAATACCATTTGGTAGTTAAATGACTGAGTTAAAATGACATCTGAAGAAAAAAAAATGCACCTCTTTGAGTCAGAGTTGATTCCTTGCTGGTTTCTCTAGGTTGCAAATCACATGGGAGAAGACTATCCATTTTCCTCTTTGGGAGGTGCTGGTGAATTAGAACTGCTTTTGAGTTAGCAGCATAACTCTATGGCTTATGCCCAAAGAGCTCCATTTGGAGGTAAACCGGTCTTTGTAATGAAATAAATGTGCCCTTTCAGAGACAGAAAAACAGTGAATAGTACCTATCCTAAGTCATCTAGTTTTCAGCATCCCAGGCTTGCATTACTTAATTTAGTCTTCTTTGAAATGACATGGCACTGTTATTGGTAACCCATGAAGAAATTTGTCCAGAGGAAAGAAAGCAGAGCTATAGAAGTATATGACCTGAGCAAGGAGCTCACTAAAAGGCTTCAAACAAAAGCATGCTTCTGGGCATAAAATCCAATTTTCCAAAGGCATCTAAAAACTACAGGGAAATTCAGTGACTATAAATAATAATATATTATTAATCTGCTGCTAGTCATACATTCTAGCTTTTAAAACCAGATACACTCTTGTAAAAGTCTACTTTAGTAAAGGCTGAAATTAGTAAAATTGTTCATGGTTAGAAAAGCAAACTTATGTAACTATACAGAGAGAGTAAAATTAAAGTGAAGTAAACTACGAAAAGAAATACAGTTTTTAAATGGTTTTGCTTTTATTGATCTGAAATTATGTATTCAGTATAAACTTAAAAAAAAACCCCAACCCTCATGATGTTAAATGCCGCCAAGTCAAACAAAACTCATGCCAATCCTATGAACGTCATATGGAAACTTTGCCCTATCCTGTGCCATCCTCATAATCTCTATCCTGCTCAAGCCAACTGTTACAGTCACTGTGTCAACCCATCCTGACCGTCCTTTGCTGACTCTCCACCTTTTCCAGCACAATGTCCCTTTTCTAGGAACTGGCTTTTCCTGACAACATGTCCAAAGTATGTAAGATAAAGTTTCATCATTGTTCCCACCAAGGACCACTCTAATTGTACTTTCTACAAGACAGATTTGCTTGTTCTTTTTGCCAATACCACAGTTATTCTTTGCTCTTTCTTATTCATGGCCAGATTTTCACATGGATATTGTTGTTATGTGCTGTCGAGTTGTCTACAACTCATGGCGACCCTATGTACAACTGCCCTAAACTCTGCCCTATCCTGTGCCAATCTTACCATCTCCAACACACCTACCTCCGCCAGCCACTGAATCAATCCATCTCGTTGAGGGTCTTCCTCTCCTGTGCTGTCCCTCCAACTTCCCAAGCATGACGTCCCTCTCCCAGAACTGGTCCCTCCTTGCAACATGTCCAAAGTATTATAGACGAAGCCTCAGAATCCTTGCCTCCAAGGAGCAGCCTGGCTTCACCCTCTCCAGGACAAACCTGTTTGTTTTCCTAGCAGTCCACGGTATATTCAATACTCTTCGCCAACACCACAGCTCAAAGGTATCAAGTGTCCTTCTATTATCCCTACTCATTGTACAGCTCTCTGATGCATAACAAGTGGTTGCAAAGACCATGGCATATACCAAATGCACCTTAGTCTCCAGAATGACATCTTTGCACTTCAGCACTTCAGAGAGGTCTCTAATCACAGACTTTCCCATCACAATACGTCTTTTCATTTTCCTGGCTGCTGGTGCCAAGAGTGTTGACCGTGGATCCAAGCAAACCAAAACTGTGAACAATCTCAATTTCTTCACCATCCATTATGATGCTGCCAATCGGCACAGTGGTGAGAATCTTTGTTTTCTTGATATTGAATCTCAATCCATACTGAAGACTGCAGTCCTTGACCTTCCACAGCAAGTGTTTCAGGTCCTCCTCAGTTTGAGCAAGCAGGGTTGTGTCATCTGCATAACATAGATTGTTGATGATTCTTCCTCCAATCCTGATGTCATATTTCTCCTCATAGAGCCCAGCCTCCCGGATAACCTGTTCTGCATAAAGACTGAAAAGGTATGGAGACAGGTTACAGCTCTGGCGTACACCCTTTCCAATTTTGAACCATCATGCAGTGTTTCCTTGCTCTGTTCTGACGCCTGCCTCCTGGTCCAAGTATAGGTTTTGCATTAGCACAATCAAGTGTTTTAGGATTCCCATTCTTCTCAGAGTTAGCCACAGCTTGTTATTTATGATCCACACAGTCAAATGCGTTTGCGTAATCAATGAAACAAAGATAGACATTCTTCTGGTAGTCCTTGCTTTCAGCCAAGATGCATCTAACATTAGCTACAATATCCCTTGTGCCACGGCCCCATCTAAACCCAGCCTGCACTTCTGGTAGTTCTCTGTGATGTGTTGTTCAGTCGTTTTTGGATAATCTTCAGCAAAATCTTGCTTGCATGTGATATTAAGGATATTGTTCAATAATTTCCACACTCTGTGGGATCACCTTTCTTAGGAATGGGAACAAATATAGATCTCTTCCAGTCAGCTGGCCAAGTGGTTGTTCTCCAGATTTCTTGGCACAACTTGGTGAGCACATCAAGGGCAGCATCTGTTAGTTGAAATATGTCAATTGGTATACCATCAATTCCTGGAGCCTTATTCTTAGCCAATTCTTTCAAAGCAGTCTGAACTTCTTCATCACCACAGACTCTTGCTCATATGTTGTTTCATTAAATTCTGCTGTGTCTGCCAATTCCTTTTGGTATAATGACTCTGTATACCCTTTCAATCTTCTTTTAGTACTTGCAGGGTTGCTCAGTATTCTGTCCAAATCATCAGTAAGTATTGCAACTCAAGGCTTGAACTGTCTCTTCAGTTCCTTGAGCCTAAGAAATGCTGAGTGAGTTCGGCCTCTTTGATTTTCTGGCTCCAGCTCTTTATAATACTTTACTTTGTCTTGTCATGCAGCCTTTTCAAATCTCCTGTTCAGCTTCTTAATGTCTTGATTTCTTCCTTCTGCTTTGGCTTCTCAGCGCTCTAGCGCAATATTCAGAGTCTCTTCTGACATCCATTTTGGTCTTTTCTTCCTCCTCTGTCTTTGCAATGGCCTTTTGCACTCTTCCTGGATGATATTCTTGATATCTTCCCATAACTCATCTGGTCTTTGCTCATTAGTGTTCAAGGCCTCAAACCTGTTCCTGAAATGGATCTGAAATTCAGGTGGGATGGATGCAAGGTTGTATTTTGGTTCCTGTGGGCTTGCTTTCATTTTCCTAAGCTTCAGCTTAAACTTGCATATGAGTAATTGATGATCTGTTACACAATCAGCACCAGGCCTCACTTTCACAGCTGATACTGAGCTTCTCCAGGGGTTCTTTCCACCAAACAGATAATATCAAGGATTGAGTCAGGTGCACTTTAGTCTTTAAGTTTACATCTTCGCTCTTTAGCACTTAAAAAGATTATTAAAGAAACAGTAATAACATCCATAATAAAAAAGAAACTCAATAATTAACAAAATCTCACCAATGGACCAACTGGCAGCATCATGATAGATGAAGAGACTGAGATTGTTAATAATTTCAGCTTGCTCAGCTCCACAATCAACATTGTTGGCATCAGCACTTAGGAAATCAAAAGATGAACTGCATTAGGAAAATCTGCTGTTGGACTTCTCTAGCATGCTAAAGAGAAGGATGTCAGTCTAGAGACTCAGGTCTAGAGAATCAAGTATGCCTGATCCAGGTCTTTGCAAATTTTTGCTATCCATCAGAGAGCTGGCCAATGACCAAGGATGACAAAAGAATTGATGCCTTTGAGTTATGGTGCTGCAGTATTAAACATATCATGACCTACCAAGAGAACTAACAAGAGTCCTGGAGAGGGTGAAACCAAGCTGCTCCTTGGAAGCAAGGATTATAAGAGTCCATGTCACATACTTGGGGCATGTTGCAAGAAGAGACCTGTCTTTGGAGGATATCATGCTTGGAAGGGTCATGGGACAGCACAAGAGAGGAAGACTCCAGATGAGATGGATTGACACAGTTAAGGGGCATTGAATGTAGGTGTGTCAGAAACAGTGAGACTGTCTCAGGATAGAGCAAGGTTAAGAGCTATTGTGCACAGGGTTGTTATGAGTTGTAACCAACTTGACAGCACATAACAATAACAATAAACACTCAATGCTTTACAGATAGTTAAAACAGTACTTTTGAAATAATTTTTACTCATTTGAAAACTTTTCCCCCCTCCTCTTTCCCCAACTTTATTACACTTTAGTTGGGGAGAGAAAGAAGTCCATTTTCATCTGCTGTATCTAAGATTTTGCAGATTACTGGAGAGAAAATACTTATTTAAAAAAAATGTTTTACACACATACTTAGAATCCAGTGCCTGCTGAAAGTAAGTCTTTTTGAGAGTGCAAGTTTCAGCTTAGTTTCTTCTGTAACACATCAACCAGGAAAGTAAAAATGAAGATGTCACTTGGGAGTCTGATTAAAGTCTGCATCAAACAAAAGATTTATTAAATAAATACCTTGACCTCTATCGCCAATTTCTTTCTAGGTTTACCACTTAGTAGAGGGAACACAGCCCCAAAACTCATTGCTCTCAAGTTGGAACCTATCGTCCAGCAGGTTTTTGGAGGCTGTAAATTGCATGGGAGGAGAGTGC